CAAGAAATGATTTTGTAACTGAAAATATTTGACGAATGAGCACGCTTGAATTTAAACTTAGCCCTTTTGTGCCATTGCGATCACACAGTTGTTAGGGGACGCTAGCTGTTTGTGAGCGCTGAAATGTATGACATCAGTTATTACTTAAATATTAACAAATATTGAAAATAGCATGTCATACTTGGAAACTTGAGTTCCATGTCAAACTGTTAATCCTATATGAATCTGTGTTGAAGAATACTACCCCGTGAAAAGTCTGGCGATGTACATTGTAAGACTATGGTGATATATGAAAAGGTATGTTGAATCATAGATAGATCGTCCGCCATCTTAACCAAAGATAAGGAATGTTACATTAATACTATTAGAGCTGTAACTGTCATTTAACGGGGGCTACATGTTGCTGACAGGTTTGATTGACGTGACACACACCTTCATCTAATGGGGGTGTGTGGTTTTTTTTGGTTTTTTTGTTGTTGTTTTTTGCCTGGTGGTTAAAGCGTTGGCTCGTCACGCCGAAGACCCGGGTTCGAATCCCCACATGGGTACAATGTGTGAAGCCCATTTCTGGTGTCCCCCACCATGATGTTGCTGGATTATTGCTAACAGTTGCGTAAAACCAAACTCACTCAGTCAGTCATCTAATGGGACATGTAGTTTGGTGACTCGATTTATCCGAAACGTTACTTTTTACATGAATGTGCAGAATATTCATGCCCTTTTTCTCGGGGAAGATTCAAATGTAATCTTGGGGAAAAACATCAACTAACAAGTTCTCACGTGTACTCACCCAAAACCGGAATGCTCAGTGATTCTCAAGTGTTCTATTTTCACCTATCTTGATTCCTTGTTATCGTCATATAATGTTATCAAGTATCAGCGAGGTAGAGCAGCGTTAGTGATAATACCACAGGAGTGAAAGGTGGTTTTAAAGGGATGCTCACACCTGAACTCCTCTCTGCCTAACCGTGGTGAAGTGGTTAGAGCGTCCGCCCGGAGAGCGGAAGGTCGCGGATTCGATCCCCGACCGCGTCATACCAAAAGACGTTAAAATATGGTACTTGTTGGTCCCTGCCTGGCGCTCGGCATTAATGGGTACAACAAGGACTGGTCGGCTCGGAGTCAGTATAATGTGTCTGAGTGGGGTATTCATGCTTCACTGCGGCATGGTATCTCAGTGGGCTAGCACTATAAAACCAGCTTAAGTCTGGACTAGTACAAGCAGCCGCACATACACTAGACTAAGGCTTAGTCTCTGAATATATATAATTTTGATAGTAACAAACAAGCCCATTTATATTGAAAAGGAGCCCTAGGGAGACCCGAGATCCTGAACCTGGGGAAATCTAGACTTGCTTCGTTTAGGGCGTTAGCACTACTGGGAAGGCTAGGCTGTAGGGAAAATAATGTGGTTCAGGGACTGTGAAACAGACTACACATACACATACACACGCATGCACGTCGTCATATGAGCGAAATATTCTCAAGCACGACGTTAACCCAATTTCACCTTACCTCACCTCACCTGTCTGTCTGCCTAAATTAAAGACACCCCATGCCCCTTTCCTCGTGGGCCGCGATTGGACGACACGAAACATCACATTCACTATTCTTGAGTTTCGAATGCAAACAAAAGTCAAACTAGACTAACGCTTAGTCCATGCATACATATATATATTTGATTGTAACAAATATACCCATTTAAATCGACAAGGAGCCCCAGGGAGACCAGAGATTCCTGAATCTAGAGAAATCTAGACTAGCTTCATTTATTGCTTTAGCATTGCAGGGAGGACTAGGCTGTAGGAAAATAATATGGTTCAGGGAAAGTGAGACAGACTACGTTTTATGGAATATGAAATATCAGCAGTATTTCGATTTTTTACCACAGCCCCTCTCAAACCTCCTTCCCTCCAAAGAAACCAATCAAACAAGCAAAAATACCCTTAATTGTGTAGGTCTGAACTTCCTTCCATGTTCCTGTACATTCGTAAATTTATAAATAATTATGTTTGTTCCACATGCGCACCTGTAACCAGATACCATATTTCAGCCAGGTTTTAACCACGTTAAAACTGAACAAGAAGACTGTGTAAACGACATTGAGAGAGGTTAGCCCATCCCAGCGTACCCTACCTGTGGAATGTGTCCATATATACCGTCATCACATCCAGTTAGCATATATTCGTGATGAGACATTGTGTTCTGCACAATGATGTGTAAAAAAATGAAGGATTTGAGGCTATTCCCGAACGTTAGCTCATCAGATGACGTCATATGACCGGAAACATTTATCACAAACAGGGTCTCTATTTCCACTTTTCTACTGCGTAAAGCAGCTTTATCAGCCGTGACCATCTACCGCCTTGTCTGAACTTGTTCAACTGATGTCATCATTACGACGTCTTGTTTAATCTATCAGATCGGAACCCGTGAAGATCCGGGTTAGAATTGATCTCTAGTAACCCATGCTTGTCGTAAGAGGCGACTAATGGGATCGGGTGGTCAGGCTCGCTGACTTGGTTGACACATGTCATCGTATCTCAGTTGCGTAGATCGATGCTCATGCTGTTGATCACTGGATTGTCTGGTCCAGACTCGACTGTTTACAGACCGCCGCCATATAGCTGGAATATTGCTGAGTGCGGTGTAAAATAAACCCACTCACTCACTCATCGATGTTGTCATGGACACAAAGGTCGTTTTGAAGTTATAATGGATGCACAACTGAAATCAACGCTTACGTCAGCCCACTGTACACATCAGGAATGTCCTTCCGCTTTACAATTTCATATCGGAAGTAATTTAGTGTTCCTGTTGCCAACTTCGTAAATGGCATGAACACACGGAAGGGGGTTATCAGCGCGATCTATGGTGTCTCTACTGGATATGACGTTGTGTTTTGAATAGGAACATATTTCCCCGTTTCCGGTGATTTTGGAATTAGCCAGTTTCGTGACAGTTACTTCATAGTACCCCAGGTAAGTTACAAAATGTATTCAATCCATGCGAATCAATGGAGGAGTGAAGCAAGGTGTCTTGTGTTAGTTAATATTGTGTCAAACCATGGTGTATTGAATCAAGCAAGTTGTTGGGTCAAGCAAAATATCTGTTGTCAAGCACAATTGCATGCTATCAAGGGCATTTTAATGTCGGGCAGTGTGTGTCGTGTCAAGCACCAAGCCTTGAGTCACGTACCGCGTTCTGTGCTTCACACTGTTGGTTTGTTTGTTGTTTAACGCGGCACTCAGCAATATTCCAGCTATATGACGGCTGTGTGTAAATAGTCGAGACCAGATAATCATGTGATCAAGAGCATGAGCATCGATCTACGCAACTGGGATACGATGACATGCGTCAACCAAGTCAGCGAAATTGTGTCATTGGTGTCGAGTGGTGAATCAAGATTGAGTCAGTGATGTCGAGTGATGAATCAAGATTGTGTCAGTGATGTCGAGTGGTGAATCAAGATTGTGTCAGTGATGTCGAGTGATGAATCAAGATTGTGTCAGTGATGTCGAGTGATGAATCAAGATTGTGTCAGTGATGTCGAGTGATGAATCAAGAGTGATGATCGAGTGATGAATCAAGATTGCGTCAGTGATGTCGAGTGATGAATCAAGATTGCGTCAGTGGTGTCGACTGGTACCCCCGTGCATATTACGGGTATAACTGTTCTTCGGTTAGATATAGGGAGTGCGTGCGTGCGTGCGTGCGTGCGTGCGTGCGTGCGTGCGTGCGTGCGTGCGTGCGTGTGCGTGCGTGCGTGCGTGTGCGCGTGTGTGATGTGTGTGTACGGTGCGCGTTCTCATGATACCATCGAGCGTGTTATCCGTGTGCCTGTGTGGTTAAAGCGTGTTTTACGACCCACGTGCCCTGTTATAAGGGTGTATTGTTCTCATGATACCATCGAGCGTGTTATCCATATGCGGGGTAGCCTAGTGGTTAAAGCGTTCGCTTGTCACGCCGACGACCCAGTTCGATGCCCCTCATGTGCACAATGTGTGAAGCCCATTTCTGGTGAAGCCCATTTCCCATATTGCTGGATTATTGCTAAACCGGCGTAATTCCTGACTCACTCCCTTACACATCCATATTTGAGTGCGGTAAAAGTGAGACCCGTAAACATCCGGGTTAGTATTCATCGCCAGCCGCCCATGCTTGTCGAGTGAAGGGATTGAGTGGTCAGGCTCGCTGACTTGGATGACATATGTTACATGCTTAGACCGATGCTCATGATGTCAATCACTGGATTTTCTTGTCCACTCCGATTATTTACAAACAGTTATCATGTAGCTGGAATATTGCTGAGTGCAGCGTAAAAATAGCAAGTGTAAATATGAGAGGCACGTGTGTTGCAAACGTGCGCATGTTCTTTCAGCGTAATCTAAGTATATATACATAATAACTATCATACTATTTGAAGTAGGCTGACGCAGCGCGTGTTGCTGTTCAAAAAAATCTAGCTATTCCCGTACATGTACTAGACATGTCGCCGTAATATACCCTACGGGCACTTTCATCAACGTGAAACCTGTTTGCTGAACGACGAACGCATTTCAGTAGTGGCAGTACATATTCTCATTCAGGGCCATGCGTTCCGGTACGCTGGCCCGGATCGGGCATTAAACACCGCGCACAGGTGAGCGGAGACCTCCCGTCACAGGCCTATTCATTGTCAATGGGGACAACCAGGAAGTTGAAAGATCGCTGTGATTGGTTGGATGAAACAGTTTCCGGGTACAACATACAACAGTAAAATATGTGAATGTGAATTCAAAATGGGTAAATACAACGTCTTTTAGGGATGATTTAACTGTTAAATATATATCGACTTTCCATACATGCATAGCTGCTATACATTCCATACATGCAAAATTGCTCTGTACATATTTCATGCTGGTGTTTATTAAACAAGAGAAGGTTTTACTTTTACGAAATATTTTTATAAACTCGTCATCCATTTATCTCTCCATCTTAATGTTATTTTGTTTTTTGTTATTTTTTATTTGATATAACCGTTACACGTTTAAAATTGTTGCCATAGATTAACATAAGCTGCTGGTTGTTGAATCGGTCGAATCGTTTATTCATACACCTGGGTAAAGTGTGTTATCTCGCTGGGGTCCAATTCTAAGAAGTGGGCTCGGATCTTGAAAGGGGTTGCGTGACACAACTTGTTTATGTACTTAGAGCTGGTGTACGATGGCACTACACGGGCGTCGGCGTGTCTCACGTTGCTGGCTGTAGCGTCGTGGCCTCACGCTAATATGTTGGAGACAAAGGAGAGTGTTTTACTAAACCCAGTCGCTGGATACCCTTTTACAATCCGTCTTCAACAACGTATGTAATTTTTGTTTCCGTTTAATAGAAAGGAGTTGACATTGTTTGCGTTTTGACACGAAGATTACATGTTATGATAATCATTTTAAAAACATAAATAATCATTATAAACGTCATCATCATTGATTAATACATGGAACTGTTTTGCTTTGGGCTATTTTGGTATTTTATTTCTTTTATTTTTAAGGGGGAGGGGTGTAGACTTTGGTAGCGAAACTAACTTTCCGCGGAAATCGGAATTGTGTACTTTCACTTTGAAAGAATGTGATTTTATTTTTAATTTGACTTAGAATGTGACAAACAACGCTTCACATAGCCGTTTAATTACCTATCTTCAAACACGATCACTTAAATAGCTATAATACATTTGGTCAGCATAACCATCATGAAGTAGCGTGTCATTCTCAGTAGCGTTCTCAAACATCCGCCGACCAGCTGATATTTCCACTTTCGGTTTCAAAAGTGGTTTTGTTTTCAATAGGATGATGATAGTGTTTTTCCAACTGTCTTAAAAAAGTGCCAACTGATAGAAAGTACTTATGCGTTAGCAACGGGTTATTTGAAGGACGTATCTATACATAGCCAGTAATGCTGGAGTGGTGTATATCCGCATAGAGGCATTCGTTTATCATTCCCTTATGACTCAGTGAACAGTCGTATCCGCATTCGTGTCCGTGTCCTTAGATGAATGATTGCTCTGCTTGTCAACTTTAATAACGGGTGTTACGTGAAATGGAGGTGATGGCGCCATATTTGAGGAACTTCCTTCTTCCATGTGGTATGTAATTTTCAAATAACACACTTGTTGGATGCAAATATGTGTCTGGGTGGCCGCGCTCTCTTTGGAATAGTCCAAAGACATTTCGAAAATCTAGGCCCAGAATGATGAGTGAGTGAGTATATTTTTACGCCACACTCAGCAATGTTCCAGCGATATTGCGGCAGTCTGTAAATAATCGAGTGTGGACTAGACAATCCACTGATCAACAGCATCAGCATCGATCTACACAATTGGGAACCGATGACATGTGTCAACCAAGTCAGCGAGTCTGACACCCGATCCCGTTAGTCGCCGCTCACGACAAACATGGGTTACTGAAGATCAATTCTAACCCGCATCTTCACGGGTACCAGAATGATGAACGACCGGATAACAGGAGCAGAAGTTCGGAGTAATATCATCTTGTTCTTATGTAAACATTCCAAAGAGTGATTATTCTTTCTAAAGGTTTTCGGATTAAATGGGTCGGTACTGGAGAGGTTTCACACTGTATGCCTCATCTCAGCTCGATGCAAGAACATATGAGCTCGATGCAAGAGCATAAATTATCTACTACTTGAACGGTTCATCAGGATGTCATTTGCGGGATTACAACATGTCCAGATATCAGGCCTTTACTGTTTTCGTTGCATATTTGAATGCATTGTCCTGCGTATGCATTATCACGCACGTGCATGTTACGCGCCTGCATTGCCCTGAATTGAATTTTTTTTTCTTTTTTCATGTTTTTATTGCCAGATTTATGTTTACAGACTTTACCTCAGTAGTACAGTACAGATAGCTTCTTAGTATGCAAGTACAGTGTTTCTTTGATCTCATTGTCAAATAACATGCTGTTCACAAATATGTAAAAACGGTCAAAAACTAAGCATGAATATGAAGTGTTACATGTTTACAGATTTTACCTCAGTAGTACACAGTACAGTACAAATAGTTTCATTGTACACAAGTACAGTGTTTCCTTTGTCACTCACTCTAACATCAAGCTGTTCACAAATATGCAAAATGGTCAAACTAAGCATGTACGTGAAGTATTACATGTTTACAGACTTTATCTCAGTAGTACAGTACAGTACAGGTAGCCTCATAGTACATAAATATTTAAAATGGTCAAACTAAGCATGTATATGAAGTGTTACATGTTTACAGATTTTACCTGAATCTTTTGGTGTGATGGGTGGCCTATCCAAATATTAACTGTATTTCTATCGTCATTCCACCCCACCGCCCCCAAACACCACACCACCCCAACCCTAGCATTTTTCTCACAGCCCATGTGGGATACTTTGTGCTTACGTGAGTAAAGGCGTTTTGAATGGGCGATCTTGGGTGAATTTATAGACACCCGTCATGCGTGCGTGTGGACTTCAACGTCCGTGGTAAGGTTTCATTGACAGACTCCTCTCGTGTTGAAGTAAGCGGTGAGTGACATTTTATCCTACGATTTGATTGAAAACATAATCATATTCATATCCTCAACGGTATTGACGTACACGCTGTAACAATAGCTTGCTTTGTAGTATTTTATTTGACACTGAAGAAAGATAAATAGAGAATACTACACGAGGTCTCATTACATACGAATTATACGAAACGAGTGTCCTTCCTGTGGTATCTAATCGAGCGAAAGCGAGGTCAGATAACATAGGAAGGTCACGAGTTTCGTATAATTCGTATGTAATGAGACCGAGTGTGGTATTTTATTTATTACCCACGTCTTACATGCATGAAATTGACAAAATAGCGTATTTTTGTTATGTTTTTGGTTTCAAACCGAAACCGGTTTCATAAAGAGGTTGCGGAAGAGTTTTGTACTGTAGTACAATATTTGCATGACGTCACACTGTAATGACGTCACTGCCTTGGTAACCAACGTCACGATGCATGTCAGTTGTCATCGCCTCGTACAGCCTCCTACAGTAAACTACTCCGTAGCACCTCGTTTCTTGGTTTCCAGTTGCTTCATTCGGCTAACATCGCTGGTGGAAACATTGCGTTTATGTTTTTCGACGGATATAATGTCTCAGTTCGACTCACAATTAAACAGCGACACGGCAACGTTCGCAATGTTTACATTCCCACAATGCATTTAAGTTGTAGAATGAATGAATTCACGTGTTTGTTATGAATGAAAAAATAGTTACGTCAGAATGTGACCTAATTGAGAGGTCATCGGTTATCCAATCAAATCGTTAGAATCTCAGGTCAAGTCGTTACGACACAGGTCAACGCGATACGACACTCGTGTGACGTACGAGATTAGTATGCAACTACCCATACGTTGACCTCGTGGGTAATAACGCTTTATACACCGCCAGACTTTCTCCCTCTACTCCCCTCCACCACAATTCACCCGTGAAGGTCCGGGCTAGAATGAATTAAAAGTAGCTTGCATATGTTCCAGTAAATGCATTCTTTTCTATGTTGATGTTGCTATTAACCGCTTCTGTGTACCTGCAGTGCTTCGTTAGAATACTTATTGTTATCCTTCTCCCTCTTTTCCCTCATCCTTTTGTTCTTCTGCGTCTCTTCCCTCCTTTTTTTCTTCTCCTTCTTCGTCTCCTACTTACTCTTTTTATCTTCCTCTTGTTATTCATATTGTTCTTTTTTCTCCTCATTCTCCTGCATATTATCCCCTTCTTCCTTCTTCCTCTCTTTCTGTCCTCATCAGCTTTCCCTTCCACTTCTCCTTTTCTCATTCTCCTCTTCTCACTTTTGTCCTCTTTTCGTTTTCTCATCTCCAGTTTCTCCTCGTCTTTCTTCTCGTTCTTCTTCTCCATTTTTATTCTCCTTTTCATATCTCTGTTTCCAGACCGCCGCCATATAGCTGGAATATTGCTGAGTGCGGCGTAAAACTAAATTCACTCGCTCTCCATTTCCTTCTCTACTACTGGTCCCTCTCCGCGTCATACCACAAGACGTTAAAATATGGTACTTGTTGGTCCCTGCCTGGCGCTCGGCATTAATGGGTACAACAAGGACTGGTCGGCTTGGAGTCAGTATACTGTGTCTGAGTGGGGTATTCATGCTTCACTGCGGCATGGTATCTCAGTGGGCTAGCACTATAAAACCAGCTTAAGTCTGGGCTAGTACAAGCAGCCGCACATACACATACACACGCATGCACGTCGTCATATGAGCGAAATATTCTCAAGCACGACGTTAAACCCAATTTCACCTCACCTACTGGTCCCTCTCCTCCTTTTTCCACGTATTTCTTTGTCTCCTTCTTGTGCCTTTTAGTGAGTGCATTCACACGTGACATAAGGCTACTGATAGGTCCTCGTCCAACAGCTTAAGCCCATTACCCTGTACTCGCTGACGTGGATTCTGATAACACCTCTTTGCCAGCCGGCCGATTTATACGTCAGGCAGGTGTTATTTTACGTACTCTACACCCAATTTTTTTAAATCACACAGTAATCTTAAAATTATAAAATTTATTAAATTCATCAATATAAAAGACATGTCCTCAGTTTGCCAGCCGATACAGACTTGATAACTAACAATATACAATAGTAGGCATGACATGCACTTTTATAGCTATGCACTGTCTTCATCATCGAGATGGTGTGAAATGATTATATGTAAATATCGTGACTGCTTCAAGGCTGCACAAACACTTTCGACCCCGCTGTGTGGCACGTGTGATGTAAAGCACCCAGTGTATCCTGGTCTATATATTTCATACTTTACCACGTAGTCCTGTAATATCCGACCCGACCTGCTATTGACCACAAAAAGTCGAGACGTCTCCTGAGTGAGTGAGTGAGTGAGTTTAGTTTTACGCCGCATTTAGCAATATCCCAGCAATATCACGGCGGGGGACACCAGAAATGGGCTTCACACATAGTACCCATGTGGGGAATCGAACCCGAGTCTTCGGCGTGACGAGCCAACGCTTTAACCACTAGGCTACCCCACCGCCCTGACGTCTCCTGAACGGCAAAAAGGTTCAAGTAGTTGACCACACCTATCACGGACAACTCGGCCTCAGTGCTATCACCACTTTCGACATCTACCCCTTTCACCCCAGCTTTGAATTCAACCTAATTTTAATAATCCACCCACTTTCAGAATCCGTCCAACCTTTCACTTTGACCACAGCTTCAATGTCCACCCCAGCCTTGATATTCTCACACTTTTAATGATCATCCAATATTCTACATCAACTCATACTATCGACCCCAGTCTCAACATCCACCCACACTTTCAACAT